CAAAATAATAAACAATCCAAAATAAAATGATCCAGTCAGTGAACAGGGTGAGACACTTCCCCTGCTGCCCAATCCATGCCAAAAAATTGAAACATCATGTGTTTTACATGGTTTGATTGTTTGATTTGTTGAAAAAAAATTAGTCAGCGAGAGGGGTCGCCTCCCCTGCTGGCCATGCTGCAGAGAATTCTACAGCTTGGTTCCACAGCGCTGCCACTTGTGGCAACAAAAAAACAATCGAAAAGAACTGAGAGGGGTCAGACCACCTCCCCTGTTCCATGCCAAAAATGTTTGAAATGTTGTGTTTGACATGGTTTATGGTTTGATGGTTTCATGCCATGCCATGTTGAAAATTATAAGGTTGCATTACCCCAAGGTTACATTACATTATGTTATCATGTTACCCCTGGTCACATCCAGCCCAGTCCCAACCATCCCTTCCCAATTCCCTTCCTACTTTTTCCTTGCCCTACCGCACCAATTTGGAAATTTTGCCGAAATTGGTTTTGAGCCATCTAGTTACCAATCCCATCTTACCCATTTTTTTTCCCAGCCCCAGTGTGGGTAACTTTGCCCACACTGGTCTTGAGCCAACTACATTACATCCCTTCCTCCCCTTTTTTTTGAAAGCTGGGAAGTCAAAGTCTTGAGCCATTTTGAGCCAACGTGTTCTTGAGCCAAATGTGTTTTGCAATCATGGGTTGGCAGATACATCGGAATGGCTGCTGCTCTGGCCGTGGGATCCAAAGTTAGATAACTTCAGGATCGGAGAACACACGTTTTCCGAAGGTGCAGGTGGCCTAAAACCAAAAACGGTCTATCGGTCTACATTTAACATCGGCAAGGTTTTGGCAGTGCAGAAACGCAGGTAAAGTCAAGGTTTGGAGCTAGTTTCTAGTCGATTCAGAAAGTAACGTTTGGCACTCCGGGGTACGGGCCGCGGGCCCAATCCGTCCTTCACTGCCATGGTGTTTTAGCCCTGCGACAGGGTCCTTGGACTCCAGCTTGGACCGAAGCTGTGCAGAACGAAAGCCAGCTCCAGGAGGCGAGCAAGGTGGCAGTTGGCAGTGCAGAAACGCAGGTAAAGTCAAGGTTTGGAGCTAGTTTCTAGTCGATTCAGAAAGTAACGTTTGGTAGTTTCTAGTCGATTCAGAAAGTAACGTTTGGCACTCCGGGGTACGGGCCGCGGGCCCAATCCGTCCTTCACTGCCATGGTGTGTTAGCCCTGCGACAGGGTCCTTGGACTCCAGCTTGGACCGAAGCTGTGCAGAACGAAAGCCAGCTCCAGGACGACACGAGCAAGGTGGCAGTATGCAGTGCAGAAACGCAGGTAAAGTCAAGGTTTGGAGCTAGTTTCTAGTCGATTCAGAAAGTAACGTTTGGCACTCCGGGGTACGGGCCGCGGGCCCAATCCGTCCTTCACTGCCATGGTGTTTTAGCCCTGCGACAGGGTCCTTGGACTCCAGCTTGGACCGAAGCTGTGCAGAAAGAAAGCCAGCTCCAGGAGGCGAGCAAGGTGGCAGTTGGCAGTGCAGAAACGCAGGTAAAGTCAAGGTTTGGAGCTAGTTTCTAGCCGATTCAGAAAGTAACGTTTGGTAGTTTCTAGTCGATTCAGAAAGTAACGTTTGGCAGTCCGGGGTACGGGCCGCGGGCCCAATCCGTCCTTCACTGCCATGGTGTTTTAGCCCTGCGACAGGGTCCTTGGACTCCAGCTTAGACCGAAGCTGTGCAGAACGAAAGCCAGCTCCAGGAGGACACGAGCAAGGTGGCAGTTGGCAGTGCAGAAACGCAGGTAAAGTCAAGGTTTGGAGCTAGTTTCTAGTCGATTCAGAAAGTAACGTTTGGCAGTCCGGGGGTACGGGCCGCGGGCCCAATCCGATAGCCAGCGCCAGAAGGACATGAGCAAGTTGGCAGTTTGCATTTAGTGCAGAAAGGCAGGTCAAGCTTGCGGGTTCAGCGCTTGGCACTCTGGAAACTAGCAGTGTTATTTGTCCAGCGTTGCCATCACGTTCCAGCTTTCCCGGCGGCATGTGCGTCCGGCAGAGTTTCTGTGCCTGGCTTTGATTTGGCCAGCGGCCTTTTCTGAGTAAACGATTGTTGCGCACGTTGGGCACGCGTGTTTGTGAATGCGGCCGGTGACAAAGCCGCCAACAACACGGAAAAATTTTCCGCACGCAAACGAGTGATCAATTTGCCCAGTCTCCACAGTGCTTTTCACATGTTGCTGGCAGAATGGACATTGGTACCGGCGGATCTGTTTGCCGTTCTTTGCTGTCACATCTGGCTCTGGTGGGCGTGGTTCCTCGTGGCTGGCTGCGCTTGCGGTGGCAGCCTCAGGGCGCACGGAACCTGTGGCGCAATCTGGCAATCGGTCTTTGCAGCTTTGCATGTCTTGGGTGAATGCAATCGTGGTTTTCTGCCTGGTCCTTTCCAGAATTTCTTGGCGCACTTCGTCTATGATGGCCTGTTGCCGTCGACTTTTCTCGCGCCGCCGTAGCGGTGTCAACCGTTCGTTCGCGCGACGGGCAATTTGACACACCAAGGCTAAACTGATGCACGTGTTGCAACACTGCGTGCCATTTTGACTGTAATCGCGGCTCTCGCACCAAGCCGTAAACTCTGCGTGTGGCTTTCGCTCGGAACATTCGGCGCAAGACCAATACCCCCGCAGCTTCTGGACGCACTCGCGGCAACAGCGTCGGTCAGCATTGCGAGCTTTCCAGGCAGCAGGGCCATAGTCTTTCTCTGCCTTGGGAACTCCGCATTTGAAACATGGCTTCTTGACTTCGCATGTCAAACAAACACGGAAAAAACTACATTGCCGTTGGCGATGCTTTTCTGGAAAATTGGTCTCGACATGCCACAGCTTGCACACGTTGCATTGCCACGGGGTTCCAGCATCTGCATAATGTTTTGTGCATTCGCGACAGACCCGGTCAGTGTCGCTGCGCTTCCATTGGCCAGATGTGAACGCTGTGCTTTGTTTTCGTTCTGCGCAAGTTGAACACACGCGTTCTTCGCAATATTTTGCGAGCAACGCCTGCCAGTTGATGGCGTCGCCGCGGAGGTGTCGCAGAAGAAGGTCCCGGCCCAAACCGATTCCCTTTTGGAATGGCGCGGCGTCGAAAGGGCGGAAGATCAGCAGCTTCTCACGGCCTTGGACGCGGGTGATTGCCACGTAAACCGTGAATGGGTTGCCCATTGGGCCGATACAAAGATCGGTCAGCACGCCTTCTTTGATAGTTTGCCCTTGCGCAACATGCGCTGTGATGGCAAATTGGGGCGCGAGCGGAAATTGCGTGCGCGACACACGGAGCTTGGGGCTCTTGCGTTGCCGGTCCAAGTACCACACGCGTCTGCAAGGTCCGACAGGGTATACGTTGCTATCTGGCATACCTGGTATCTGCCACGATGTCGCGGTTTCAAACTTCACATACACCACCGCCGGCAATGCGTTGCACACAACTCCTTCCGGTGCAGGCGTCTCATTGGCAATTTCGGACCAACCCACGACGAGGCCTTTGGTGCCCTTGAGAATGCCGCGCTTCCGGTCCAAGTGGTCTGTTGCACGGACAGGCATGCCGACGCACAACGGCAACACGCCGTATAGCCCACCGCACTCTTTGTCGTGTCGCTGCAACCATTGCAATTTCTCCGCTGTCAAATTCGGCTTCTCCTGCAAGACCACGGACGATGCAACATCTTGCGCAACAAACAAATATGCTTGCTTTTGTCTGGCATTTGCCCACTGTATGGCGCGAAGCTTGTTGACATGATATTTGATGTCGTTGGTGCCGAAAATTGCAACTGCATCAGCAAATTCGTTCTGAAACCGGGTGTCCGCATCTCCTTGCGCGACAAGTATGCGAGAACGGCGATCAGCGGCCACGGAAGATATGCCCAGGGGTCGGCGGCAGGGGGCGGAGCCCTTTAATAATTTTGGATGATTTGGGGTACTCCCCATTTTAGGGAACCTCCATTTATGGTCATTATATCTGCAGTCTGCAGTTGGTGGTGCAATAACCATCTTGAAAAACGATGGAGTTCGTCAATGGGAAGGATTATATATCCCATATATGAAATGGAAAATAAAATTCCATGGTTTGAAACCACCAACCAGACTTTTATATCTGGGGGTCCTGGTTCTAGTTAGCTTCAGGACTATCAGGACTATCAATCGCACCCTTGTGTCGGTTTATCAACACAACTTGTGGAGGTAACATGTTCATAAGACTGAATGGTAAGTCCTCTAACTGGGATTTGTCTTCATGAGGACCTACTGGTACTGGTGTAGCCAGTGACTACCCTCTGTTTACGACTAACAGTTTGCCATGGAAAATCACCATGCTATTAATAGGTAAACCATCTATTTCTATGGATCATCTATACCATGGCTATGTTAAATAACCAGTGACTACAATTTGTACTTGTCAAAGACTGATTGACAGGCCTAAAAATTGGAAAGTCCGCAAGCCTCCCGGCCATGGACATTCATCCACATGTGACTGGCTCATCATGGGTACGAAATAGTTGCTAAGATGCTCCTCCATAGACGACTGTGCACTACAGGAAATGGCCACAATCTGTGGGAGGTCAAGAATGACTGGAATAGATTGTGCTGATCTACATTACATACCTAATTTTGGGGCAATGAAGCAAGTGACCATGTTTTGTGTGCGTGCTTTCTTACTCCCAAAATCACGGTGATTTAGGCGTGCCAAAGGGACCCATGACCCATGGATTCGACCCTGCAACGTCGGGGAAGATTCGGCTGTCCAGCAACAACACAAGTTAGCGGGCTCTTTTTTTCAGGGCCATGAATGCCATATATCACCAATGGAAAAACTTCTTCCACAAAATAATTATCTATCACCTAAGTCATCAATATCTATCATCCATGGATATCCATGGCCCATTTTCATCCATTTTCCATGTGTTACATCACCAGAGGCCAACTCCCAGCATTTTTTCCCACCGCGCCACCGCTTAAGCCTAGCTACTGCTGCGTTTCGTAGCCTCCAATAGCAGAGTTCGGTCGGCCTGCAACCTGGTGAGCCCAAGTCATAGCTGGTTTAAAAAGATGCAAAAAACAAATAGGAAAAACATGGAAAAACATATATTAATATGGCATATATAATATGATAGCTATGATAGCTATATTAATGCCATGTGAATTATGCCATATATGATCATCATATTATTACCATATGAAATGCCATATGGATTTATATGGTATATTCATGTATATTCTCCACCAACTATGGTTTTCCCGGGATCCATCCACATGCTCCATCCACGATGATTCTCTTCGATTCTCCACTTGGAAATCCCCAAGGTTGGAAGGTACATCCTTCGCTGGGGAAATCGTCCAACTAGGCTGCGTTCGATTCTGGGAGATGTGGAATAAGATATTGGGACAAGTATGGGCTATAGGGATAATTCACATGATAACACGTTAGGATTTATGGGATTTATGGGGAAGCAAGGAATAGAATTGGATGTAATTGCTGAGATTCTCCAACATCTTCAAAAACCAGTTTGGAAATCCCTGAATTGGTGTGGAGCTTTTTGGTGGAAAATTAACAGCAAGTTATCCACGTTTGATTGCCGGGTCCGGTACCCTGAATTAGACCTCCGAGCGTCCTGGATGATGAGATACCATGGTTAAACGTCCGTCATTCCATGTTAGAAACTCGCTGATTCAAAATGTAAAAAACCGAGTTCATGGACACTTTTTTGCAAGTGTATAAAGGATAGGTTAATAACCCCCTACCACTAATGATTAGTACTTAAAGGTGTTAAACCTGATTAGTAGTTCCCAGGTTTTTAGGAATGCCTGGCCTGACCCATGCCCATCTAGTCTTATAAGGGATGGAGTGATTCAAAGCAATTGACCCATGGTCATCTATTGCTGCTAGATTGCTTTGGCTCCTACTCTTGACTTGAAAATTGCATGAAACTGCGTGTTTTTAAACAAAGAACGGCCAAATTGGTGTTCGGGATTTGTGTGGTTTGTTTACACAGATTTATGAATCAAAATGCCGATCATTGCAATTGCATAAACTTGACGTTTCCACGAATCAAAGATTCCAAACTTCTTGGGCAAATCTTTATTTTGAGACATCTTCAACTATTATAGTTGAAACTCCTATAAAAGATGGTGATTTTCCATAACTATGTTAGTTTACCAGTGGATAAATTGTCACGTTCTTTGGGGAAATTCTTTACTCACCAAGAGTCGTACATTTCCCGTGCAGGCCATGCATCATTTGTCGTCGCACCTGGAACTTGCATAGTGCAAACTGCGGCCATCCAATTCTACCGCCTGCCGTGGCTGTGATTGGACAGTCGCCACAAGTAATGGGTGGGCCCGGGATTGATTTTTTGAATGGACTGCATGAGGGATTATCTATCGGGTTATCTGAATGTCTTATCAATAGATTGGTTTTCTTTTGAATGGGTTGAAACTTGGTTCAAACGTAAATTGTCCGTTCAATGAATTCCACGAGGTTGTATCATGTACCATTGATGCAAAGCGCTTCAGAGACAAAATTCATGTGGACTCTGTGGCTTTTGCGCCAAGCATTTTGAACATTTTGAACCACTGATTGCCAGTCAACAATGTTGGGTTTACCACAATCTACGCGGATTTTGTTGGTTGAATCCCAAAATGAATCCCCTTCAAGGGATCACATGAAGCCTAAGGCGTAAAATGGTGAGGGGAACGTCAAGTTTCTGAAGGAAAGAATGAAGCATGTTCTACCCTCTGGTAAACGTTTACATATATAACGAACTGAAAAATTCCACAATTTTTAATGGGTAAATCCACTATAAATGGTCATGTTCAATAGCTATGTAACAAATTACCAGAGGGTAAATTATTGCGCTTTGGTTTAGGTCTTGAAGAAATTAGAACTGGACATTTTAATCTGGACATGTTCAAGCCAAGGTTCACGGATTGGGTCGATCGTTTGGATTCCTGCTGTCATTGAAGAGACCCCAACGCAGGTTCCTATGGAGGTCTTGGGATTGAAATCTGGAGGCATGGGATGTTCTTGTGAGCTAAGTGGATAATATTGGATAATATTGGATAATATTGGACAATCATCAAATAGGGATTTTGAGGGATTTCTATGGATTTCTATAGTTAGATATAGGCGCCTCACTTTGGACCACAGGTTACTTCCTATCAGATTTACTGGGTGCAGTTGCAAAGACACAAAAATCCACTCGAAACTGCTCAATATCCCAAAAGCTATCGGAGTTCATCCCTAGTCTTCCTGGTTTGACCATGTTTCACCCACCTCAACAGACTGAATCACCATTTCTATGGGCTCATTAACCTAAACTCCCAAATTCTGTGGGTGAATTTCCAATTTTTGACAGACCAAATATCCCCATAATCCTGTAACTCATAATCCTGTATATGTATATATACCGAGATAATTTCCTATAAATTCCCATGCGTGCCAGTAAGGTCGGGAAAAAAAACGCTGAAGCATCCCTCCTTCGCCATGAACTCATAATCATCTCTCAAGCGAGGAGAAGCAAAACGAAGGGCCTGGATCTTCACGGGGAAAACAACAGATTTTGCGCACCCTAAAAGGTCGGGAATTCCACCGGCCCCAAAGGTAAAACTGTCCCAATAATTCATAATGGGTGTATATATATATAATATATAGACATAGATTGACATAGATGCATATAAGATATGCCCTAAAAGATCTTGCAACAGCTTTATTAGCCGGTTGCTGGTGGTCACATGTGGGCATCGACTCCGAAAATTCTTGAGATCGGTATACTTTCATGTGGTCCCAGCGAAACAACACCTGATTCTTGATCCACTGATTTGTGATGGAAGGGCACTTGAACGGTGTGAGGCCCATTGTGAAAGTATAACTTCCACAAGTCCAATCACCAAATCGCCATGTGAGGCCCCATAAATAATGCTTGTTGCAATAAATATTCACCCATGAATACTAGACAGCTATGTTCCCCCTATTTAACCTTAAGTTCTAGGTCAACGAAAAATCTAAGGCTCACCAAAGGTGACTTTGCTTGTTGAAGCCGATGGAATGGCCCCAATTGAAGGGCTACACTGTTTGGAAAACTGGCGCCATATTTTTTCGGCCATCCGCCAAAACAAATCAGCCACGTGTCATCAATCCGGGGTTGATATTTTTTCGGGGATTTTTAGCATGGCAACTATATGTCTTTACCATGTTAAAAACGAATCCAGAAAATTTCTGAAAACCTATTCAGCATGATTCCCTTTCTCAATGGCTAGCCTCAGTGGAGAACCAGTTTTATTGTATAAGATTCCTCTGCAAGCCATTTTTTCTGCGATTGGATTGGACACGTTGATTTCATGTGTCACTTAGCATCATTCCTGATGCGCTAAAAGATTTCTTTCCGTACGTGCTGAGCAAAAAACAAAATATATGCTTTGTTGTAATCTATCCCAGAATGGGAATCATGATATATAATTTGTGTATAAATTCCTGTTACAGTAATGGATTCATGACCAACCCCCCCAATACGGGTCTACAATCCAACTTTTGACGGGGTGCGTGCGGAGTCTGGCGTCCACAATCTCCGGCCCCAAGCACTGGTGGCGGGTACCGAAGACTAAAACTGCAAGAAACTACAAAGAGAAGTGAAAGCACAGCAAACGAATTACGAATTTCACGTCAACCTCCACCATTGGCGCGTGCTTTGCGCAGTCTTCGCATGAAAGTCGCATACTTGTTGAATCTGTCTGCGGTCGGTGGATCATCCATCAAAGGGATTGGCATTGTCGGTTGCAAGTTGGATTTGTAGATTGGTCTGCTTAGAACTCCAGATCCCTCCAAAGAAGAAATGTAGTCCCATGTGAACTGGACGGTCTCGCAAGAGTTGGGCAAAATTGGTCTCCGAGCGACCCCCGCAACCGGCGGTTTGAAACCCAATCTGATGAGAGAGCCACACTTTGTAATGATAGGTGAAGGTATCAGTTTCTGTTGTAAAATGGTTTCAAGATTCTGTGCCATGTGACGCAAGCACAAACCTTGCAAGGCAGCTGTACGGTGATTGCTCGGTAGCAACATGGCATCGTCACTACCATAAGGAACGTATTTTGATTTCGCGCCAGAGCCTGAAATTCTGACTGGAAACTGAAAGCCAGTAGCCAAATAAAAGGATGTAGCCATCTCAAACCAGGACATGCCCCAGTCAGTGGTGTCCTTCTCAGCAGCGTTTGCGGGCCATTTCAGTGAATCGAGCCAAGTCTTAAGGGCCTTCCCTAAGTTGGCGCCTTGTAAACACATGTGGAAGACTTCATCATCAACATCAACGTTGGGGATGCTTTCAAAACCATCGGGAGTGAAATTCTTCAGGAAATTGCATGCATCCACTCCCATCAAACTGGAATCAAAAAGTCCGCGCGACGGTAAAGGAGCGGCTCTCGCATGTTGAAACTGAGTCAGAAACGCACCTTTGCCATTCTTCAGTTCATTCAGTTTTTGAAGTCTGCATCTGTTGAACTGCACAAGGTATCCAAGAAAATCTTTAAAAGATTTTTCTTCCACACGAACGTGATTGGCAATTGAGTCAATGAGGGCTTTGATGTCAGCAGGAATAGAGCTAAGCACGGATGTGGCGGCAAGATCTGCGCAATGGTTGCCCACAAATCTCCAAAGTTCATCATGGTTGGTTGCCTGCTCAAAAGGAACGTGACTTTTAACCTTTATCATTCGGTGTTTGTCAGGCTTCCATAAACCATCAATTTCCTGAATAAGATCCACATTAGGGATCTTGTGAGAGATTCGTTGCCACGTTCGATTCACAACAGCCCTAATGACTAAGCAAACATATTTGGCATCAGTGACAAAATCGGCTGTTGCGTCTGGGTCTGTCTGACATAAGGCTCGCAAGGCAATGAGAACCGCAAAAAGCTCAGCTCTGGCGACATTCTGATCACCTGGTACCAAACCAACAGCAGTGGTAACGAAAGTCGGAAAGTGAGGTTCGGGACCAAACACGAAGTCCAAGGATGTTCTTCGAAGTTCCTGTGTGTTGGCAACATCTTGGATTATTGCCCATGAAGCCACTCTGGCGCATGCAATCTCTGGATTTAATGCTCCTCCATCCGTAAAGAACCTGTAATGGTGGTCATCCATCACGACAATCGATGGAGTGGCTGGGTCACGAATGAGTTGTGTCCATGCTCTAAAGATTACGGTCTCAGGATGTTGTCGAGGGATAGGCAAGTAAATCCATTCAGGTCTATCTTGGCTGATTAATTGACAAGTGGCACTCCACTCTTGGCGAGTCTCGGACAAAGCATCACATTCAAGGAGTCTATGTTCTCGAGTGTCAGGAAGACCACAAAATTCACAATCGCCACTGACCTTGTCATCCCATTTGGCTTTCATGGAATCCGTCTGGTAACCGCCGGCAATATTGAGTTTGATGAGTTGTTGTTCCTCATCCTGCAGTTTAGAGAAAATTCTGATGGAGATGGCTGGATCAGGCAGAAAATCACCAATCCCTTTTCTGTCGGTGAGGTTCAGCAAAGAAAAACTCCACATCTGTCTGAAAGTGTTGATGATTTTTTTGCAGTGATCTCTCAGGATATTGCATCTAAAGTGGTCAGGAACAGTGATGTCACCATTTTCGGCAATTGTCCAGCCTACTTGATTCAAGTACACTCTAAATGCAGAAGCCGGCCCGTACGGTCTTTGACCTGTGTACGCCACCATTGCTTTGACCGTATCGACTGCAATCGAATGGGCTGTTTTGGCCAACCTCCTGACAATTCTGGCACGTTGGCAAAGGACGTGCAAAAACGGATCCACCAGAAACTTGGAAAGAAAGTTGCACGACATCACTGGAGAAGCGCTATGCCAATGTCCAACCAAGGCAGTGACGCAAGCACGACGCAAGTCCACAAAATGCTTCTTTCCAATGTAGGTTGTATCTGCACTATACAGAGCCATAGGCCACGCACATGATTGGATGAGATGGGCCTTCTTCTGAAGAGAACATGGGATCCACTCGATGCGATGGACTCTGGTTACGGCCTCGGAAATCTTCTCTTTGATGAAGCCCAAGGATACACTTTTGTTGTAATGGACGATCTCACCCAAATCTTTGACGCACGATCTAACAGAGACTTCCGTACCATCTTGTGTCTGACAATTGCTGATACAAAAATCGCGGAACTGTTTTGTTGTGGCCCAGTGCCAACTCTTCGCATGGTCGATTGACAGCTTCAGGGCAGAGGTCATTGCAAGAACGTCTCTGTGCGCTGTAAGATGTGCTTGTTGCTGTTTTGACATCCAACTCCAGTTATCTGCATAGGCAAAAGGAAACACGTGTTGTCTGATGATTCTGAAGTAGAAAAAGCAAGAAAGCGCCAGCATGGAAAGTACACTTATTGAGCAACCTTCTGGAACTCCAGTAGTGGAGGTGATTCCAACTGAAATCTGTCCCTCAACAAATGGAAATCGGACAAGTTTGTCAAGGCTGTGAAGCCAAGACCTGAGCAAAGTCCAAGGTATGCCAAGTCGGTGCATAATGATTGCTGATGGATATCGTGCAAAAGTATTGAAGGCTTTGATCAAGTCAAGCGAGTAGCCTCCAAGAACTGCATTAGATCTGATCGCATCCTCAATCATTCTCTTTTGTGCATAGGCTAACTCCTTTACTCCTCGACCAGGCAGGCCACCAGAGATGGGGAATGGAAAATGGTCTTTCCAAATATCTGCGACACATCTGAAGACAAACTTCCCAAAAAGACGGTGCAAGCAACTCAAAATTGTGATTGGTCTCGCATGGTGCATCGACAAAGGAGTGGGAATTTTTGACAAAAGAATTGTCTTGGCTTTCATCAGATTGGGACTGAAACCAACGAATGCAACCTGCTTGAAAATCCACACGAGATCAACGATGCAAATCCTTGGTAAACATCGTAGTTCATCGTTCGACCAACCGCAAGGTCCAACGGCTTTGGCTGGTGGAAGCTTGAAGATGATCTTCATCCATCTGTCAACATCATCCCATGGAATCTCAATCTGCGGTATGTGTGGTAGATCGCAATTACGCAAAATTGCTTGGAAATCAGACCAATCTTTACCTGAAAACTGCTGTTGTCTCGAATCACGTTGCCACATGGGTTTCCAGAAATCAGCAAATTCAGACGAAATTTCTTCAGGCGTCAAAGCTGTATATGAAACCTCCAAGACGCCCTGGCTGTCAAGACATCCATCAATGTGTCTGAAGAAAATCTTCCTGTCCTCTTGCTTCAAAAATTCAAGGTTTGCCGCTCCCAATCTGAGTTTGGCAAAACAGGGAATCTGAAAGTCTGAGTCGATTCTAAGGCAAGTACCCCCGATCCTGGATCTGAGAAGCACGGCATTGAAACACTTTTTCACGGGAACCTCCCGGAGGCTATCTGTCTCTTTGGCACGAATAATTTTGTAGGTCAGTTTGCTGAAGTCATGTTGTATGTCAACTTGAATGCGATTTTTGAACGCATCAGCACGCATCTTTGCTTCAGATTTGCAAGCATGGTCGCAATCA